GCTGCTGCTGCTGCTACTTCTACTAGTACTAGTACTGCTACTGCAACTACTGCTACTACAACAACTACCACTACCATAACTATGTTCGACCCGTACTACTTGAAGCGGCTGTGTGGATTCAAACTGCGGCACCTTTCCACTTCCCGGAAGTGTCTCGAAGCATGCACCGCGCATCGATGCTGCAGTGTCTCTCCCAGCGGCCCTCCACCTTCCAAAGCTGCCAGCCACCTCAACTTTCGCCCAGTGTAGTCTCTTTGTGAAACGGTATGCAAAACTATGTAACCATGGAGCTCGGTCAAGTCTTCCACTTGGAGCAGGCGCCCCAGGACTTCGGCACCCGACGGTGGAAGTGGCTCCGAGTCTGCAGCAGGGGACTTTACACGCATGTGCAGTGGACGATGCAACTCGCCTCTCCTGTATGTCCCATTCTTTTCAATGCCATGGTTCTACCGGATGATCCTCGGGCCCTCACGTGCTGTGGAAACAAGAGCTCACTAGCGAGACTCAGAAGCTCGTCATCGAACTTTCGCCTCGCTCTTCTTGTGTAGTCATCGAGCAGGAGCCATCGGGTAGCAGCTTAGAAAAGCCCGCCGCGAACCTTAGCCGAGGGGGACAATGAAAGTCACGACCATCCTAATCCAGTTGTGGGAAATGCGATGGCGTCACATGCAGAGTTGAAGGTTCAACTGGCCACAGCACCTGTCGCCTATACTCGGAGGTCCCATGTCCCCGGAGCTTGCACCTGGATACAGTACAGTAGGTAGACAGCAAGTTCCGTTTGTTGGCGTTCCAGCTGCGAAGGCGATTCTGATCCTGCTCTGGCGCCCAGGGGCATTCCGAAGCGCTTGCAGTTGTCCTACTGAGAAAGGTGGTCTCGGTTGCCGAAGGAAGAACATGTACTAGTGCCAGCTGGCTTCATTCAAGGAGTAACAACATTAAAAGCCACAAAATGCTTTCTTGATGCGCAGCACCCGAGCATGGACAAGCCCGAGCTGCTGCAAACCAGGGAGCTTCGCGGTCTTCTCGGCATCGTTGGCGTTGATCGCCGCGAGCAGAAGGCTGCGGAACGCTGCGCCATGGAACCGCGAAGGCAACGCAGCTGCTGCGAACATGGCGCCTCATGCACAGCATCTGTAGGCAGATAATACGCATTATGGCCACCATGTTGGGAGCCTTCTGCAGGGCCCAGAAGAAACGAAGGTGCGAAGCGATGGAGTCGGCGCTCTGCGGCAACGACGGAGCCACACGCGGCCAGGTCCAGAAGCTCGCGACAAAGTGCGGCACAGGTCTCCTGAAAGGAGCCAGAGCACCGCAAAGCACGGCCGGGCGAGCAAAGAGCCCAGTCCTGTGAGGCGGCTCCGGCGCGGTCTGCGGAGGCGACTTGCCGCCAAAGGGCGCCTGGGAGTGAAACGCCACCCCCTTCTTGGGGCCGTCGTCGTGAACACGGAAGGCAAGGCCAGCCTTGATGCACTCGAACTCGAAATGGAACCACAGCGGCAAATGCAGATCTGGGCGACAGCATCCTCCATTGCGGGAATCCAGCCGCAGTCCACCGAGTCGGAAGCAGCACTATGCGCTTCGCAGCTGGTGCGGGGAAGGTGACTCTGGTGGCATAAAGGCATAGAGCCATGTCTCGGTCTCTGACTCCAGGACTCGGTTTCTCCTGCCCTCCGGCTTTCCTCTGGGAATGTCGAGGGACTGAGCATGTTTTAGGCTGAAGCTGCGGGTGAGGTCAGCTGGGGACAGAGGCATGAGAGCGCTCGGGCTGCTGGAGTATTTAGCTGCTGATGACGGCAGCGACCGAAACACGAATGGGAAAGGAAATGGGAAATGGCTGGTGCAACCATTCAGCCGACGCGATTGCAAAAGCGCAGTTGCCAGCTTTGTGCACGTCGCTGGTCGCTTGTGCGCAGAGAGTGGACTTCACCCTCTAAGGCCTATTTGCCACCAGCTTTATCTTCGGACATGCTGGCATCCTCGGCCTGCAGACCCACAAGACCTCCGAACTCCTCACTGCGGTGCTGAGAGGTACTGAGGGATGGGCGGACTCCTCGAAGTCATCAGCCCCATAGCTGTCATCCACGTCGCTGCCTGGCAGCTCGGCCTCGGAATATCAGCCGATTCAGCTCCGGGCGATCGGGCATGCGAGGGCCAGGCGGCGACTGTCTCCTTGAGGCCCTGGTCTCTTGGAGGGGCCTGGTCTGGGGCATCGAAATCGCATTCGGCGTAAGCGGCGCTGCGGCGCGGCCTTGCCGTTCCGTCCGAGCGAGGCAGGAGCCTCGATGCAGAATCGTGCAGAGCAGCGAGCTCCGCGCACTCCACCACCGACCTCCTCGGAAGTTAGCCGCTTTAGCCGTTCCTCCATTCCGAGCGTCACCTGGAACAGTTCTGCCCCCTCTTCACTCTACAGCAACGATGCCACTGGAAATCTGCAAGGGCATGCAAGGACTCTGACTGTGCCTTCTTGCATTCAGTGACGGTGGCGACCGCTTGCTGGACACGGTCAGAAAGATCTGCCATGGTGACCTGAAATCGCTGCGGCGAAGAGTCATCCTTCTCCGAAGACAGCGGCGCCTTAGCCTTGCCGAGTTCTTCTTGCTGTTTGCCCAAAGCTTCCAACTCTTCAAGAACCTGTCACCGCACGGCCCATCGTTCCCGCACGTTCAGAACCACGCTTCAAGTCAAAGCGGCCTTGTGTTGTAGCTCCGAGATCTTCCGTTCGACCTCGACAAGTGCAGAGTCAGAGCCCTCGCAGAGACTGGTGCCCTTGGCCCTCGCGGTGCCCGGCCTCCGGTGCTTTGCCCTGGGAGCTTTCGGCAAGTTTCTCGATCAGTTCTAGTCACTATAGTCTATTCAGGAATGCTACCGCTGATGCAATTCCTGCGATTCATACAACGGCTGATTGTAGCGGGAAATGCTGTCGGAACGTCGTTGCACGAGCAGCCTGAAACTTCTCCGCCTCTTTTCTCAGGCGAACAGACTTGCCCTACCTAGAGCACCTGCAGAAAGCCACATCCTGCCAGCCCGGCCTTGCCCGGGTTGGTGCTTTGAAGGCGAACCTGAACCTGCCCAAGGAATTTCGCGCGTGACATCACCCTTTTTCAGCTGGTACGTTGTGGCCGTAGCGGCCTTGCCGAGTTCGCCTTGATGCATCTGCAGCTGCTGCAGCTCCTCCGCCACCTGCAACCCATCTGAACAAAACCACGCGCACCCCCCGGTCCATCCCCGCCCTGCCTGGGCCGCCAAGCGCTCGACGTTCTGCTCCAAGTCCTCTTTGGGAAAACACTTGCTCTCGTCCCCCGAAGTTTTTACTCCTCGCACTCCTGGACCTCCGGCTTTACAAGCTGCCCTGGCTTGACCTTACATAGCACCAGAGGGAACATCGAAGCTCTTCAAAATGCTGCAGCTCTGTGCCTTGGTCAGCAACTGCTGCTGCTCTGCTAACTGTTCCAACTCCTCCATCACCTTCAAAAACCAAAGTCCACCGACAAGCCGAAGCTGACCGGAGAGTACAGCCTGCTTCTGCAGCCCCTCGACCCGCAGCTCCAGCTGACGAGCGCCATCAGACACCTCCCAGCTCGGCAGTTCTGGGCTCACTTCTGTGCTGGGTTTCTTGAAGTTCGTGCCTGCTTCCTGGTGTTTCCGGCCGTCCCTGCGTGGTGCAGATCCTTTCTGCAAGCAGGATCCCCTCCATGCCCCGACAAAAGCAAGCACGGGGCACGGGCCTCTACTCGCCGGACCAGACTTCTCAAAGAAGCCTTTCAGATCGAGAGGAATTGCCTTGCACTGGCTTGGGCAGACTCTCCAGCCTGAAGGTCTGCCACATCCGAGTGAACTCCGCGCAAGTCGTTCTGGCAGGTCCTTTCATGAACCCTTTGCATCCCGAGTCTGAAACCAGACTGTCGCAGTTGCCAGCTCTCGGTAACCTTCTACGCGGGAAGCTCTGAAGAGGATGCAGACCGGCTGCAGTCAGGTATAAAACCTTAATCACAAAAGTTATTGATGCCAAGAGGGTGGGGCCTGGCAAGCTGATAAGCTTCGCCATGGGCCTCCTCGGCAGCCGAGGCTCCATCCGTGTCTGCTAGGCACCACGAAGTCGCTAGGTTTGTGTCCTCGTTCATGATCTCCTCGCGGACGGCCTTCGATGCAGCCTCGGTGGCCTGCAGGTGCTGTGCACAAGTCAGAACAACGATGAGGCACTCAAGCAAGGCTTCAATGTGCTTCAATCTTCTTGGGGCCTAGCTTCATCTCACGCAACCATGCTCGACGATGCTGCCACTTACGGCATCAGTCTCATCATCGCTTTCTTCGGCGATGCTGTGGCAATAGAGAGATTCTTTATTATTCATTCCCAAACAGTGAGGTCGCCCGATGACCTTCCTACGTTTGGAACAAAAAAGAGTTGGCTCATTTGTGCTTGAGGTGCCCCCGGCTGTTCCGCGGCGCCCGCTGGGGTGTCTGTTGGTGGAAATCTGTCTTCAAGTCATCCGCTTTCAAGCCGCAGTCCCGTGAATGTCGACCTCCCGAAACAAACTATACTGCCGGCGGGCTAGGCGGCCCACCGCAGGCAGAAACGAAAGGGCAGGAGCCCGGCAACAGCTGTACGTGCTTTCGCCCGTGGTCGGTGTCGAAAATATGTAGGAGAGCAGCGGGGACGCTGACAACCTGCGGTACGTAGGTTTGGCCTATGGGCAGGGCCGCGCCACCTAGGCAGAGACAGGAAGGCCGATCACGGATCAGAGGCTTGACAGACGCAAGCGGAGGCCGTGCAAGCCTACGGCTGGACGAAGAGCGCGGCGGTCCCGGGGTTTGGCCCAGACGCAGGGAGGCGTCGCAGAGCGGCGCGGGCGTTCTCGCGCTGCAGCGTCACTGCAAGTGTCTCATAGAGCCGGTTGGCTTCCACTGAGACAGCTTCTCCAGACCGTGCCGCGATGGCCGCGGCAGAGCCTGCCACCCCCAGCCACCCTTGCACTCGACGACCAACTGGGCAGTGCATTGGTCCTGTGTCCGCAGGTGACTGCGCCTGTGAGCTTCGTAGTCAAGCACAACGTGGTCGGCGCCCTTGGAGACAATGCCGTGCAGATTTCTTCCACCCGTGTTTTGCATGTCCAGCTTGCTCAGCCGCGGCAAATGCGGCAGTATGCATCGTAGTACCGCTTCCTTCACAGCTGTCTACAACTCCGATACGTGACTCGCCACAACAAAACTCAAGACACAAGAAGTTAAGGATGAGTTAAGGGCAAGTCTCACGTAACTCATGCATGCACCTCCACCCGTTGAAGAACATCTTCTACCGTAACACGGACGTCGCTGACGGACTCCTGAGCTGCCGAAACTGATGTGTCTTGCCAAGTGTTACACTTGTTCAATCTTCCGAGGCCTTTGACTTTCTGAGCATCTCGGTCAGCTGGTCTTCCAAGGTCTGCATGCTCGCCGACATCGTCGCTTCTGAAGCCTCTACCTCGGATCTGGGCAGATCCTGCTGGCCGGCCATCGCACAACGCGGCGACGTGCCTTGCGGGTCAAGTCCTTCGTGCTTTCAGAGAGCTGCGCCTGGTTCACCTGGCGAACTCACTTTGAGCTCTGCCGAAGACCTCACGAATTTTTTTACATCTGTAAAGCTTGCCGTGTCGAGCTGGGCCTGCTGCTACAACGACTTCTGGACATGACCGCTTCTACTGCATGGCAACACAGTCAACGCCTTCTGCTGCTCCAACTCCTGAACGAATCATCAGATCGGCATCTCTACGGTGTACATGCACTACCTGTTCTTGAGTGCCTGCTGCAGGGCTTTGAGCATCTCGCTGTCCTCTCAGGAACAAAGAGCAAGTTCGGCACAGCAAAAGAGGTGCAGGAACTCGCGGTCAAACACTTGTTGCTTTGCCCTGCCTTGCCAGATTGGGAGTTGATATCCGACAGCTGCTGGCGCATGCTGGAAGTAGCGGCTTCCCGCGCCTGCATGGTAGGCAGGTCTTGCCCCGGTTTGCCTCACCTCATACATACTCTGCTCTCACGAGTCCTGTGCCAGCAGCGTCTGCAGGTCCTTTGACCAGTCGCAAGTAGCTGCTTAGCTCTCCCACTCCTCGCCAATTTCGGCCTCTTTTTGGGGCGCGTCGGCCTCTTGCACAGCAGTCGAAATGTGCGACATTGGCTCAGCTGATTAAATCGGCCTCCAGGCGGTCGAGGCGGGAGGAGAGGGTGTCGACCAGCTGTGTGAGATCTCGGTTGGAGCCTTCGAGGCCCTGGTGCAGGACTTGGACCTCGCAGAATTCGTCAGAAGCACCTTCCTGCCCTCCCCCCTCCCCCCATGCTGCCCCGCCCGACCCGGCCCGGCCTTGTCGATGCTCGACAGCATCTTCTGCAGAGCTTCAGAGGTGCGGCCTTCAGAAGCCTCCAGACGCGGCCCGCCGCTGAGCCGCTGGACAGGCTGGACAAGGATTGAGTGGAGCCCTGTGCCTCGAACCTCTCCGTCAGTGCATGTACCTTTGGCAAATCACCTCAGAATGATTGAGAATATCCTGCGGTGTCAGAACGAATTTCGCAGAAAGAATCCAAGAAGGCGACTAGCAAGCTGTGCCGTCTCTGCCGCGGAGCTATCAGAGAGATCCTGAGGCCACAGAGGCTCATCACTGCTTCACAGGAAAGAACAGCAGGTCTGTGTCCTGCTCCTTAATGGTCTGCAGCTCAAAGGCAGACCTCGCTTTCCATGAGCACGCAGAGTCTCTGTGCCGTGCTGAACAATTCTGGGCACCTCACTCGGCGTTTTCAAGCCGCCTGAATGACGAAGGCACTGCTCTTTGCAAGCACTCCAACAGCTCGTGAAGAAAAGGGCAGGTCTTGAAAGCTCAAACGGCATGGAAGTGAGGGGTATCAGGGGTGAGTGCTCTGGTTGCACGGAGGAACGCGACTCGCACGACGAAGAGAAAAAGAGTCTTCGAGGAGACGAGGCAGCAAAAGGATCCTAAAGCCGTTGCGCGATTGCAGCTAAAGCCGGTGACGCTGTGTTTATCCCGGAACGCAGTGTGAACTGGATGAACTTAGGGACCTGGACATCTTGTTCAAATCCTCGGTGATCTTGGCTACACGGTCCTGTCAGCAGAGATGCCGGCAGCAGCCTTGCTACTGTACTCTATCAGTACCACTGCTGACTGCTGCCTGGCTGGCATGTCACACGGATGCTGTCCTGCTCCACGACCAAGTCAAAGCGCAAAGACTGCATGTTGCTTCCGCCTGGCGACTTTGACCGCAGAGCGGTAGTAGCTGTCAGACATGGTTTGCTGTGACATGACAATGAAGGACTTAGTCACAGGCTGGTTTCTGCTAGTTTGAGAGCTTTGGAGACTCGCGCGGATAGCTCTTCGAGCTGCACCGCCGCCTGAGTCCATGCGGGAGCTCGTCAGACCCGAACAAACATGTCTGGAACACAGCAATTTACTCTGATCTGCGGCAGCCTCACTGCTTGAACCTCGCAGACATGAAAGCGTGGCCATGGACACAGCGACTGCAGGCATTTGCCGGCAAGGAGCTTGCAGGAACATCCTGGAACTTCAAGTGATGCTCCATCTGCTCTTCAAGAACTTTGACAGAGGACTCCACCGCATCGATCCGGCTTGCAGCCTGCGGCATCATGCCCATCATTACAAAATGACACCTCGACCCTCCCTTTGTTCGAGAGAGGCGCAAGCCGGACGGGGGGGGTGGTCCGTAATTTTGAAGTTTCGTGTTTCTCCCGTAGCAGCCTATGGCCCTGTGAATTTCAAGCTTGCCGATGGTGCACAAACGGATGATGGTGTCTGCAGTTCCCTGTACCCCTCTCACACCACCATGAGAAAATTGTGGATCTATGATTCCGCCCCGAACTGTCAGGTTTCATTGAGCCATGCTTACGAACCACCTCCAGCAGCACTGTTTCGCTTGCAGGAGCTGCAATCGCAGACGGTCGCTGCACCACTGCTTCCTGATCGTCGTCGGCAGTGGGACGTGGGGCATTCCTTCTCCCGTGTCTTGGCTTTGTCCGAGTGGCCACTTCCACGATGCGAACCACGGCCTGCCCCAGCTCTTCAGACAAGGCCTCCACGAGGGACCAAACAAAGGCGATACAGTACACCAGTACGCACCAGTCGGTCAAGGTCGAGAACGATGTGGCTGGACTTAGATTTCCTGTGCACACCTCGAGACTGGCTTTTGTCGCAAAGCTCTCGCTCCCGGGCGAGGTCGTCGCTGGAATCTCGGCTTGTGCAAACGACGTGCCATCATGCCACGTCTGAGGCTGCCGCTGGAACTGCGCTGTGGTCTGCCTGCCGTCTACAAATGTGCAGATCTTGCGCGACTGACTACATCTCGCTCCCTCACTCGGTCTTTTGCTATCTTTTGCTCTCTCGCGGCGATGGTGGCTCAGAAAGAAAGTCGGTTTTGCGATACGCAAGCCAGAATCTGCAAAAATCGTCCGCGCCTCGCGCTAAATTGTGAACATGGTACAGCAGTGCAGCACACACCCCATGATATCCTGCCGTTCACGGTGTACACTGCGCCAATGATAAAGGCCATCCAATCTCCGGGGTTGTTGTCCCACGTTGCAAAGCAAGCATCTAGGCAATCTCGCCGACACCCTGAGTTCAAAACGCTGCATCCAAGAGAGTCAGCTGAGCAATGGAAAGTGCTAGAGCGTTGGTGGTGCTGCAAAGAATTTGCCATTGCGTGGTCGCACTCGTCATCTTGCTGCGCAGCTCGTCTCTCCGTTTTCGTGGCAGAATGCGTTCCTCGCGCGACAGAGGTCTTCAGAGCAGTCTTCGGAAACTTTAAGGGATGAACACTGCATCCTACATGGCTTCGCGGGCCCCAGAGCTGGGACAGGGCAAACACAAAGGGCACTGTCCATCCCAACTGCGCACCGCGTTTGCTCAGGCTCAGCGAGGCTGTCGCTGCAGTCCGCTACCCATACCCAAATACCTGTGTAACGGCCATACACTTATGTTTCCTGCGGCAGGATCTGCGCGATTTCCTGTTCGCCAGCGGCTCGCTTAAACCTACAATTTGTTAGCTCGCGCCCCTGGCACGAGCGGTGTAGCTTGTCCATGGAAAAATATCTCAACCGACCTCTTCGGCGTGCTCAAGCTGGCATTTAAATGTTCCGTTACACATCGTGGCACCTGAGGACACACATGGGGCGACGAGAATACAACACAGTTCGTGCCGTTTCCTGCAACCTCTGCAGGATCCGTTGGCGCTCGCTCGGGACTCCTCTGCGAGCCGCATGCCAGGGTAGGCTCGCTTCGGCGACACAGGAGAACCGAGTTCAACTTGAGCCCGCCAGATCATGACACAGGATATGGAAGCCGGGGGAAAAACAAAGACGTGAAGGTCACCGGATCACAGAAGTTCAAGGTCGTCACAAGCCGCGAATTTCAACACGGAGAGAGCGAGAAAGGCGGGAGAAGACCGGATCTCACAATGCACATCCTTGCAAGCACTTGGCCTGGAGCTGCTCCAGCTGGTGCTCCAAACTTAATGTGCCTCGTGAAACCACCATGCACTGTTTGTGAAGAACTCGTGACTCCAAGCTATTCCAAGCCCAGCGCGGGTTTCAGTGGTGGCTGTTCTCTGAGAGAGACGCCGGAGGGGCCTTCTACACCCACGACTCGAAAGGATCTGGGCTCTGCCTGCGCTACCTCGGGACATGCTAAGGCCAGTGCTCGGAGATCTCTTTCACAGCTAGTTCTAGACGGTGAAGCTCCGTGCGATCAGCCTCGCAAGACACGTGCCGAGCTCTGCCATTTGACATGAGGCCCTCGTTCTTGGGCAGAGATTGTCTTTGTAATGTATTTCCATCTCTGCAGCTTCCGATCTGGAACACTGGAATCTCTTTGGCTTCACTTTTCGGGGAGGGGGTATTCAGCCCTCCCACCACTACAACAAATACAAGTACCTGCAGTCGTATCAATAGCCATCGTCGTCGTCGTAGTAGTAGTCGTAGTAGTCGTAGCAGTCGTAGTAGTCGTAGTAGTAGTAGTAGTAGTAGTAGCAGCAGCAGCAGCAGCCCCGACCTCTCGGTGCGACAGGAAGACCTATCCGTTTTGCCATTGCCTTCTTCACGAATGCCGTGTGTTGCAGCAGTTTTGGCGTCGATATTGAAATCCTAAACGCTCAGCTGTCTGCTCTTTGCTATTTCGATAGGTTTCTACTTTGCTTATTCTTTAAGCAAAAATGCTGATACTTGCAGTACTTGTATTCGAGCTTTCGAGCTTCCTATGTTTCCAGTGGTTCGTGGACTTCGTTTGAATAAAGCGCTTTGTCTTCGTGACTTGTCCAAGAAAGGGCCTTTCACAACAGAGCACCCATGCCAAAAGCAAGTGACGTCCATGGTCTAAGGCGATTTAGGATCAGAGCATCCATGGCCAAAAGCCAATGACGTCCATGGTCTTATGCGTTTTGGGCAAAGAGCATCCGTGGCCGGACCATGATGACGCGTATGGTCTGGTGTGCCTTGGAAACAGAGCAGTAGGGATTTTGGGACATGCTTGGTCTTGCCCAGCAAACGCGGGCTATCGCGCAAAACATCCCGATTGCTGTCGGGATTAATTTTCTCTGGGTCCACTGCCGCTCAATCCGTGTATCATACTGTCCCAGTGTTTTTGGCATTTGGTATTTCGCAAGCATTTTTGGACTTTTTATTGGACTTAGGTTGCGGGGGGCCGGGCAATGGTAACGTTCTCTGGCGGAACCACACTTCATGACGAGGAAGAACACCATGATGACTATCTGATGACTTTCATGAAGGTGTACGGCGACAGGCAATGCAGCAGGGGAAGCAAGGCTGGTGACACTGTAGTAGTAGTAGTAGTAGTAGTAGTAGTAGTAGTAGTAGGCGCCCCCCCCCCTACCAACTACACTTGCTTAAAGCCATCTTAAGAGCACATCCGTTTTACTCGGTATTTACAGCACTTTCGTCATGT